ACCCAAAGGTAGTGATTGGATGCAAAGGGCAGGCTGCCAACTGATTTCAAACTTCAGTGTTAACATTTGATGGAGGAGAGTGTGTGGATTCAAAATGCCAGCCAGTTAGAAACTGAAGCTTTTTTGAGAAACTGGATTTACATAAGAAAAATTCCCAAATTTGTGCTGTTCCCTGCCTGCCTGGCCTGAAACACGCAACTTCCCTTGGGGGCTGATGGCACCACTGTGCACCAGCAAGGAGAGGCGGCTAGAGGGCAGCCTCGGGCTTTCTGTGCTCCTCATCCTCTCCCCCCCCAGACCCCTTGCAGTCCCAGTGGCATAATGGAGTGCAGCCATGTGGGGAGGAGACTGCTGTAGGTCAGAGTCCATATCTCTGACTCTCCATGAAGCTGCAAGGTGGGTCAGTCACGCTCCCAGGGCTTCTCTGTACTTGCCAGTGTGGTCTGAAGCAGGTCCTGGATGGGATAAGTAGGTTATCACTTCAAGCAGCTGAACTGCACTCTCATTGCCATCCTCCTTTACAGTGCTTTGCCTATCTGCCATATCTTAATTTAACTTGTCTAGTACATTGTGTCTCTCAACCTGCATCCCAAAGTGCTTTATTATGCAGGTGCCAGTCATAGTGCCACAGTTAAGGCTGAATTGAAGGTTTTTGCTTTAAAGAAAGGAGTTTGACCTCTTTGTTATGCATAAAGAATGTGGCAGGTCCTTCCCAAAATTACTGCATATATGTATAGGATGCAATGACAAATTTTAAAAAATGTCCTTGAAAAAACTTGTCACCTTGTGTAAGGGCCTTTTTTGGCCCTGAACGATCCTTTATGGATAACAGAGACTCTTCAGACTTCTTGAACTTGAAGCTCACTGACATATGGGATCTATGTGATAATCATTCTTGCTTTTTTTTTTTTGTAACTGAGGTTTTCTTCTTTAGCAAAGGCAGCTGAATTTTACAGGGCATTCCAGAAGAGCAGAGCTCTTGCACAATAGTTACCACTCCTTATTCTCACTGGATGGAGGCCAAAAGCCGCTTCTGACAAAGATGGCCATTACAATTCATGTTGACCTTCAACATGCTCCATGACCGCATAGGGGTCACCATCTTCCTTGAAATCAGCTTGGTTTCACTCCTTCTGGGGAACAGTGGAAATGGGTGGCCATTTTGAAAAAGGCATCTTAGTAAATGGTAGCCTGTAAATAGTTTCTGTATTTAAGAGGATAGTGGAAGGTGGTGGCCATTTAAAGTGTGCAGTGCTTCAGAAGTTTCTCTGTAGATTTTCTCAGCCTCTTAACAGATAGCTGAGTTACAGAGAAAGTCAATAATCACCATTATTCCTAAGCATTTAACTTAAAAAGGTACATGTTGCACCAGAATGGTCTTCAAGGAACACAGGGAGAAAATGAGAAAAAAGGTGTGGGGATTGTGAAGGACAAAAAGGACAAAACAACTGAAGCACATGCACACCCAATGTGGGAGGCAAGAAGTAAATTGAAACTGGTGCATATATTTCGTCTGTTTAGTGTTCTGGTGATGCACAAACAGATATAAACTTTATTTTCCTGGCAGGTATGTTTTGGCTGATTTGTACTGGTTGAGTGAGAGAAAAGGAATAAAACCAGCCGGAGCAAACTGGTGAATCTGGTCCTGAACTCTTGAGAGCTTATTGTTTTCAGGCTTGACAAAATGAGAAGCATCACATGGTTTAATTGTTGATAATTTCATACATGAACATATAAAAAACAAATTGAGGAATGTTCCTAGTTCCCAGAAAAAAAGCCTGAATTAAGATGAATTTAAGTTGAACATATGCCTAATTAACTTACGGTATAATACATTGCAGGGGCATTCTGATTATCCCCCAAACAAATGTAGTAAACCCAAGATATTCAGAGTTGAGGTTTAATGAAAAAGAATTATATACATATTCAGGTTGTTTGCATATTCTCACACAGTCCCTCATCTGGCCTATTTTAGATATCTTTTAATTTTATTCTTAATGTCTTTAATGTCTAAAAATCACTGTAATCTTGTGCGACCACAAACACCATTATGCCACAATCACAGCTCTGTGGTTGCTGGATGGTGTCATTTGGTGGATAGGTAGGATGTTCAGGGCTTTACATCACTGCAAGGACCCTTTGGCCCAAGTAGCCATGCTGGGGTTCCTTCTTACTGAGATGGAAAATGAGTAGCCCAAGGAGTTGGGCTCTGCCCAGGAAATCTCCCTACATCTGCCTGTGCTTTGTCTCTGGCTTCCTGCTTGGACATTTTTGGGCAGGAGGGAGACAGCGGAGGCTGAAGGAGGGAATTCAGTCACTTGAAGTTCTTGCCAGAAATGTCTCGAGTCAGTCCAAGGTTGGAGAGAGGGATGTTAGATCTTGCTGCCTCTGGGGGTGGAACCTGAGAGTGAGTGTGCAAGTGTTTGCTTGCGTGGGCCTAGCGTGCATGTCTGTGGCCTGTCACAGGGTGGAGTTGGGGAGTTAGGGAAAGGAGGGGGGCTTCTTTAGGCAAGATGCAATCCTACACATAGGATTGCCTCAGAGCTCAGGTGATGGGTGGGGAAGACTTGATCACTTGCAATGCTTTGGAAACATGATCCTGACTAGCAGCCAAGTGGCCTACGTGTAAGCACTAAGGGGCCAATCTTTTAACATGCCAGGCACCATAACCATCTGGGGCAGGGGTCTACCGTTTGTTTGATGCTCTGTGGTCTGCTGGAAACTAGCAGAATAGATTCATTTTGACACCATCCATTATTCCCATCACTCCCTCTTTACAGCCACAAAACTCAGTCACATGGGGTTAAGTTTTCTGTTCTTCTGTGAGCATACCATGCATCTTTGTTCAAAGGATCTTGGCATTCATGAAACTTAATTACTTCCCACAAGCATGCATGGTAAAGTTACAGCTCCTGAACTGATATGTGCTGTTGGTATTGGAATCAAAGATGGGTGAGAGCCTTCCCCTCCACGCCCCTCCATTCCTGCATCTGAGCCTTTCGTGGGAGGGATGATTTATTATGAACCTGACAGGTGCCCATGTTGTGCCAGGGAACACATTTTTAGGAGCACTCTGTCTGGGTGGAGTCACAGCTGCCACTGAGCTCTAGGCTGCTGGAAAGGACTTGAGCAGACAGCATACCTGAACCCCCTTTCTGTAGTGGACAGCAGCCTGTGTCAGTAATTTAACTGCTGGCCTGAGCCTTGCCTCATTAATTGAACTAGTGGAAGAATGAGGGGAAAGGCAAGGACAGTGAAAGCCAGGGCTGCCCCCATCTCTGAAGCAGTAGGCTAGAAAACAGGCTAGGTGAAGGTCAGGGCTGATCTGAACACCTCTTTCCGTATTATAGCTCAGGCAGAGCTTTGGGAGTCCCTGCCAAACGTGCCTGAGTGTGTGGGCTTGGGCTCCGCCTTTCCTGCCTGACTTTAAGCTCAACCTGTAAATTAATTGTCTCTGAAGTTCACACAATGGGAGACTGGAATCTTGAGCTGCTCAGGCTCTGACTCCAACCCTTTGGCTTCTTGCTAGGACTTGTATTAGAGCCACAAAGCAGGTTGATCTTGTATGCTGGATCTTGTTTCTTCAATGCCTGTAGTCCTGGCCTGATCCCATTGATTTTTGGGGTGGAGGAGGGGAGAACAGCATCTACTAGGTGTGTCCCTATAGGGACATCTTCCATTAGCAGGAAAGTGGGCTGGGGAAGGCCTGGATGACATCTGGGGAAGGAGTGAGGAGGAGGAGATGACACAGATGGAGGTGCATCCCATCTGGGTCCTTTCACTAGTACTCATACCCTCCTATTCTTGGAATGCCCAGATTACATCAAGGGAGATGCAGCTGAGATAATTTTGCATTAACATCTGTTCTTAAGTTATCTTCCATCAAGAACAGATCATACTCCTAGCACTAACTACGTGTTCTGCCCCTCCCCTCCTTGCTGCCCCAGTCCTTTAATTCACCTAATCTAAATTGCAGCAGGAGTAATTGCCCTGTAATAGCAGAGCTATGGCATTGATTATGATCATATTACTGTCTTTCTCTGATGTCCTGCCTTCCAGCCCCAAAGAGCTCTTACTAGTCCCTGATGTTCTCCATCCAGTCCTCCCATGTCCCTTGAGTATACTGCCCAACTAAGGGCTCTGTAGCAAATCTTATGTTAGCAGAAGAAACCTTTATAGATAGCTCTTATTCTCTCTTCCATTCAGGAATGGAAAAAAATCCTCTGGGTAGTTGGGGTTAGAAAAGATCTTTTCACCACTCTTCAATACTTCTGACCTCTCCCCCCACCCTCACAATCTGCCATTTCCAAATGAAGTTTAATGTCATCAGGGCAGGTGTTCAGACCTGGAAGACTGAACAAGACCATATGTCCTTCATCCAGCAGGATCCTTGTTTTCCATTCCCTTATGTGGGGCAAAGAGCACAATTTTCAGTGCTCTTGTCCGTGAAGAGAGCAAGTGGTTCCAGCAGCAGCCAGATCTAGTTTTCTCTTGGGCTAACTGCAGTGTTGGCCCTGTTTTGGCATTTCTGGGTTTGAGGGGGTGGTAAGGGAGTGCAGTTAGGTGGGGCTTCATTCTCCTCACTCCAAACTTCCTGAAGCACCATCACCTGAGTCACTGTTTAAAAATGAACCTGGCATAAACCTGTCCTGTCCTGGCATGTGTGGTGATCACAAAGGTATGATGTAGGGGAGTCTTCTTAATGTGGCCATTTTTGTCATAGGTGGCAAGACTTTTGTCTGAGAATGTAAATTTTGTAGAGTGAAAATAGTGGGACTTCTACTTGGAGTGAATTTTAGGTTTTCTTCCAGGAGAGAAGGGGATAGAGAAGGTAGAATTCATCTCGGGATGAAACTTGAACATTGTACTAGGCAAGCAGAAATTGTCACTGCCTTGTTGTACCTTTCCCTCTCCTGTCAAGTATAGAAACAGTAGCTCTGGCCAGCAGCCAAATGGGGCATGTGACTAACCGTTTCCTTTTTTCTCTTCTCTCCCTCTAGGTTCATGACTGGGAAAGGGCTGGTCATCTACCCAGAGATCGGGGACAAACTGGACATTATCTGTCCCAAGGCGGAGCCATCCAGGCCTTACGAATACTACAAACTCTACTTGGTGAAGCGAGAGCAGGCAGAGTCCTGCAGCACTGTCATGGATCCCAACGTGCTGGTAACCTGCAACCGGCCTGATCATGAGATCCGCTTCACGATCAAGTTCCAGGAGTTCAGCCCTAACTACATGGGCCTCGAGTTCAAGAGGCAGCAGGACTACTTCATCACATGTGAGTCCTCCTCTTCCTCGCTTTCCCAGCTTACTACTGTCTGTCTTCCCTCTGTGTTCCTCCAAAGCCTTTCATCGGACTGAAAGGTGCACACCCTTTTTGTTCCCCAACCCATACCTTATAGTATGTTTCTGGGCCCAGGCTAGGGCATGTCTTCACTTTTACCACAAGAGGGCACATTTCACTGTCGTGCTAGACACTAAGGGGATGACATGCTAAGAGTTCCTAGGCATATATTTTGACTGGGGCTGTGCTAGTGGATGGCACATGTGGGAGCTCTCCTCCATCCCATCCATTAGGGATGGTGAGGGAGCAGTGATGGGGAGTGAAGTGCAAGCTGCCTTGTGAGCTGACTAATGGTCCTTATCCATTCCATGGGCTGTGCCACTACGCACCCCTTTCTACTGCACTCCAGACCACAGTCTTATTTAGTTAGATGGGCAAGGAGCATTTTACCACATTCACACTGGACCTGGCAGGGGAAAGGAAACCATGCTTAGCACTGCCTGGGTTGCTGGCTTTGGAATGTATGTTCAGTGATGTCCATGGATCAGGTAAGAAGTTAGTACGTCAGACCATTTCTGTAAGTGCTTACTCGGGATGTAGGGAGAGCTTAGTGGAACAGCAAAGAGCCTGACCCAGTGGGAGCGAATAGCAGCTTAGTTTGTCTTCTAGGTAAGAGTTAGCATTGAGCATTAGCTTAGCTTAGAATGTGCCCTCATTGAAACTGAGTACAAAGCTACCTGGAGAAATCCTCCTAGCCAAAGGGTTTTAAGAATTTAAACAAAAAGCTTAAAGCATGATTTGCACTAGGATAATAGAATCTGAGGAGGGAGGAGCATGGATGTTCCCTGGAGCCTGGTGGTCTCTACAGATGTAAGCACAATGACCACCTCATCTTTGTGTGATTCCATAAATAGGAGACACCCTTATTCCTCGTGATTGTGCCCAGAAGAGGTAGAGGAATCCTTTGCACACGTTGGCTTTGGTCCTGCTGGGGCTCACTGTTGCATCTGGATTCTGTTGCTTGGCTGCGCTTTCTTTTTTTCTTTCCTCTTGTGGCTTTTCTTGAATCTTGCTGTTTCCACTTGGCTTGGCACGCTGCACTAACCCAATAGCGAGGCAGTGGGAAAAGGGCACAGTGGCTCTGCCACAGCTCATCTGTCACCTTACGCATCGTTGGCTCCTTGCTTGCTTGCTGTCACGTGCTGCTAACTTGCCAATCACTGGCATGGCGCAAAGGTCAGACTATGGTGCTGGAGTTGAGCTCCAAGATGTATTTGGGCACCTCACATTCAACAAACAAATCTATTTGCGTGCCTGGATCTCATCTTGGCAGTCAGTGGGGGTGGGCTCCAGTAGATGGTGTTAACTGTAACTGTATTCTGCAAATGCAGCAATTACCTGCTACAAGGAGGGTGGTAGAAGATAATACAAGCCCTTTGTGGGGCTGTGTTGTCCATCCTAGCAAGCCAGAGCTTTTGCTGATGGGAGTGTCTGCATTTTGCTTTGGATTCAGTTGAGTAAACCTGATATGCAGAAGCCTGTAGTCTAAATTTATCTCGAGTGAATTTTCAGATGAACCCACCTGCTGGAGATAATTGATCTAGTTTTTGCAGTGGGTCTGTTTTAATTTGGGCGCTTTAAGACTGGAAGAATGCTGGCAGCGCTGGTGGCACTAGCCAGCTCAAACTGCAACAAGTTGTCTGCTTTTAGTGTGAAGTCTTTGCAGTGGTGTTTCAGGTGAGATGGCCTGGAACAATCACTTGCCAGCCAGTTCATTCTCATTTGTTTTTTGAACAAATTTGAAGTTGAGGGGAGAAGAAATCTGGTGTGGCAAGTCAGCCACCAGTTTGCCTAACCTGGCTCCCTCCATGTCTCTTATGCACTGGGACTGTTTGGGGATTTGTGCCTGCTGCCTTGTCCATGTGTTGACCAGCTTGTGTTCCCCTAACCCATTGCTGCCTGGCTGTTGGGGCTGGTTAACGAGGCTATGTTGCTCCTGTGACATTCTGCTTTTTTCTTTATTAAATGTGCCAGAGGCCTGTCGTGGTCTTGATGAAAAATGGCTTTAAAACTAAGATGCTCTTGGCACAGGGATGGGATCACAGAGAAGAGCCCTTCCCGAGTTACCTTCAGTATGTTCTCTGCTATGGGACTCCAGGACTGATGTCACTTGCCTCACCTGCATGTTCTAGGGTGAGACTTGGTTATCTCACTCCCTTTTAACAACTCAGGCTCACACTTGTATACACTTCCATTCACCAAATTGTTCATTCTCAGCCACTACTTACTCTTATTGGAGTTGGAGCCTGGCAGGGACATGTGCACATTTATAGCCTCCACCACAGCTACACCATCCTTTCAAAGGCCAGGCACAGATTTCTGGCAGGCTGTGGCCTCCAGTGCGGTAGTGATTGGCCTCGCCAAAGTCAGATTCTCCTGCAGCTCCTTGGCTAAAGTTAGGCTTGAATGAGCTGAACATTTCCCTGCAGAGACTAAAAGAAAAGGGAGGGCGGGGAGTGGGGATGGTGAGGGGCTGACTGCAAAGGAACTAGTCAGCCTTTCATATTTTGGACAAACATCTTGAAACACTCGGTCACTGGCTCTTCCATGTTAAGGGTCACTGCAGGTCAAGTTCAAGCAGAAGTATACTCTTCAATCTAATGAGAATTGAAAGCAGGGGTCCTAGCCAGGGCCTCTGTGTTACACCCCATGGGACATCAGGGATTCTTGTACCAGTGCCACCTCAGCCAGCTCCAAGTGAGAAACCCACCGACCCCTGTAACAGTAAATAAACCCTGAAAGACAAATTCATTCACCAAAACAAACCCTTGAGCTTAATGTCCGGCACAGCACACATTGGGGATGGAGAAGCGCTTTGATTTCCACAGCACTCCAGATGTTTTTCTGGTTTGCTCTCAGCACCCCAGATTGGGTGGGGAAAGGTAGGGTATGGGTGGGTAACAATTCCTTTGTTTGGGAGGGAAATAAAATGCAGTGTTCTGAGGTTCTGGATTCCACAAACTCAAATAAATCCTCAGCGTTTCACATCATAAAAGCCCGCTGCTTCAAATTAACCTTTCGCCTCATGCTTTAAATGGCATTTTCACAAACTGATAAAAGCGTGCTGCAAAATATAAACACTGCTCCTGAAGGCGCCATGGCTTTGAATTTGTGCCAGGCATCAGGGAGGCAGGAGTCCCCTGGGCTCTGCCAACACACCTGAATCATTCCTACTGTTTCAGGCTGACCCCCCCTCCCCCCCCCTTTCTTTTTTTGTTGTTGCAGTATTGCCTATTGTGTTTGTATCCAGCGCGCTGAATAGGGCTGGATTGCTGGTTTTATAATCTTGAGTGCACATCCTGTGAGGGATTAGGCTGAGGCCGCTAACCTCATTACATTTATTTTTATATAACTGGTGTTTTTAGCTCTGCTCTCTAAAGACCAATCATTTGTTTGTATTTCATAAGCACAGCTGCAGCCCAAGCATTTATCTGCCCTTCTGGAGGTAAGGGCTGGGCCTGCCTTCTTATGCCTCCACTCTTGCCCCGTATGTTCAGCTTGGATCAGAACACGGTTGTTTTTCAGAAGTCCTGATTTTTACTAGAGTCTGGGATGGGCAGGGATTACCTGAGCACAGCTGGTCTGTACAGCTTCCTGGCCTCTGTCCCTGGAGAGTGGAGGGACCAGGGGCACTACCAGTGAAAGCAAGTGCCTTGCCAGTGCTTTAGGCTCCTGCTTAAGAGCCTTTCTTTAACAGACTTCCTTTGTTCCTAGAGAGCGTTGCCTTACCTTGGTGGCACAAGCCAGGGGGTGTGTGTTGGAGGGGTGGGGGCAGGGGTCAGGAATCTGGGAGACCCCTTCACCTGCCATTGCTGTGCCCCCGGCACAGACCATTTCTGACTTTAATTTCTCCTGACTTCGCTACACTTTGAAGCAGCCTCCATGGCTCCAGAATTGCATGTCTGCTGTGAGCTGAACTTTGGCCCCTGGGTGGGCTGGAGATGATCCTGTGATCCGGCCTTACCCTCTGCCGAGAAGCCCCAGGAACTCGTTCTGCCAAGGAACAAAATAGCCAAAAAACAAAGTCAAAAGTCTCCTGTGCAGACCACCCACGTGTTGTCTCTCGCACTCTTTTTTTTTTTTTTTTTCCCCAAGCCTGCCTTGACACACAAAAGGTTTTTTCTTCCTTTTCATTTACTGGCGGCTTTAAGCCTTAGGGAAGCTGTGTTCAAACGGAAAAGAGCACGGACAGCAGCATGACGTGTGCCGCCTGGGCACTGGCTTCCCAAGGCCAGCTGGAAAATCCTCGCCATTGGAGCAAGGTAGCTTCCTGGG